CGGGCACAGGTGACAGGTCTACCGCACAAGCGGAGTCTGCGATGGAGGAAAGGTCACGTGCAGGCTGTCATCAGAAGGTTGCACTCCACGCCACCTCTTTTCATTCGACCTTGGACCAGCTGTCTCCCTCATCTCGCGGGCCGCGAATCACTTTCCTGGCTCCAGGTATTTGGGTATTTGGTGGCTGCTCCAAAACATACATGAGCAAGCAGGCCTTGCACGGAAGCTGCAACACATCTCTCTTGGAAGTCCATGCCCACCTGCGTTGTAGAACTTATCAGCTGCACAATCTTATTGCACCATCATTTCGGCACACGCCGGACAACCGCCGAGTGATGCAAAACGCAGTGGGCATGGCAGCTTGTCGCTCCCCGGCCTCCTTGACCACGAGGAAGTCGGAGAGAAACAACTTCGAGGTCTGCGCATGCGCGCCAGCACTCATGCCTGATCCCTCCTGCCACAAGGCTCAGTTGGGAAGCCAAGGCCCCAGCTTCGCAACACATCGGGGAAAGAGAGATCCGACAAGGAGCACCAGGGCATTCAGCTACGTGGCAAGCAAATCACCGCCGTTTGTGCCTAAGAAGGCGATCGCAGGGACCAAATGCTCGGTGTATCTCAGGCGAGCATGCAGTGCATCATATCATGGCGAGACTGCTGCTGCACCGTGCCTTGCGAATCTCCATGTTCATGACACCACTTGGAGGCCATGACCTGGTTAAAGGCAGTATTCAAGCCTCATCTCAGCACCCTCAAACATGCTTGGACACTTGCAGAAACATGGAAGCATGCGCCTTGCGCGGAGCAATGTGAACTACCACGAGCTTGCGCGGCCCAACTACGCACGTGGCCTCCAGCTACAAACTTTGTGGTCCCAGACCAACGGTCTCATCACACGCCTTTGACACGCATCGGTGTTGGAGTCAGTGGGTGGCATACCTGCCGGACAGCAGGATCTCATTGCAAAGAAGCTCGCATCCGGAAGCGCACGAAGCGCCAGGTGCAAAGTCTGTTTCCTCGTTAGTCGAAGGCGGGGTGACTTTAAATTTGAACACCCAAAGCCTCGAGCAGAATGCCGCAAAAGGGGCATGATGGGTCTTGGAGAAGCTATGTCACTCCAGTTTGCACTGCTGCGCCGCAGGCTGTCTTGTACTCGTATCATATAGAACAGAACGGCGACTGCTAAACACATCTCACCCTACACCCTACACTCGCCCATTCCGGCTGGGCATTTACAGCTCCAGCTTGGCCAGCAGTGCGCCGTCCACGACCTCGTCATCCACCGCAATGCACACTTCCAGGATGGTGCAATCTGCCGGCGCTCGCACGAGAACCTCCATCTTCATGGCCACCACCGTGAAAAGAAGGTCGTCCTTCTTCACCTCAGCACCCTCTTTGATGCTGGTTTTGATGACCCCAGGCAGAGGGCACGCCACGTGACTCTTCTTGGATGGGTCCGCCATGGGGCCCTTGTATGACGCTGCTCCAGGCGGTGGGTCATAGATTGAGACTTGGTAGGCAACGCCGTCCACCAGCCATTCGCAAGTCCTCATGAAGTCATGCTCCAGCGGGCCCACACGATTCAGCGTGATGCTTGCCTTCGTCCTGGGCAAGGCAGCATCGGCCTGTGCCTCGGCTTCCACCACGTTCGGCCCTGGCACCTCGAACTCGATGGTCTCGTGCACGGTGAGCCCGTAGAAAAAAGCCCCGGTCGGCAAGCATGTAGCCAGCGGCCCCACTTTCGCTAGATGCTTCATGTAGTCCCGGAACACTCCAGGGTACATAAGGAAGGCATTCATGTCCTCACTTGTTGGTTCTGTGCCAAACTCTGCCTTCATCGCCGCCTTCACCTTGTCAAAGTCCTCCGGTGCCAGTGTGTCGCCTGGCCTGCCTTCCATAGGCTTCAGCTGACCTTTGAGAATGGCATCCTGCATGCGCCGCGGGAAGCCGAAATGCGGTGTGCCCATCTCGCCTGCGTTTGACAAGTTCTCGGAACCGTGGATGAGACTATACCACTATTCCAAACGCGCTGCCGCGAAAGTATTTATCTTCATCCTTTCGCATGACTCCCTCCTCGTACATCAGGACAGGTATAGACTCAATGAAGATATGGATCCATAAAAAAGAGGCTCGGTCTGCAATGAGGCATCTCTATATATACACACACATATATATACACACACACATATATATATATATATTCAAAACAGCATATATGTTCTGGTTATTAAAACATAAAGATGCCCCGACATGCCCACGAAAAAACAAAAATTCCCCCAAAAGGGCAGCGCCTCGAGCGAGCTCGATGGCACTCTGCGGCCAGTGAAGAGCCTGCATCTTCGGCATGTTGTCAAAGTCCTCT